AACATGCATATTCTCTGTCATATGGACCTGCATGAATAAACTTTCTGAATCCTTTATCATCTGCAACTGAAAATAGTTGTGGATGATTACTATACCTTTCTAATGTGACGTTGTTGTCCCTGGCTTTCTTTCTCTCCCTCTGGCTCTGTTCTACTGTGCTACTGAGTGTAACTACCGCCCCTCCCCCCTCTGCCCAGCGTAAAGCACAAGGCTCGCGTGCTGAGTGAAGCAGAAAAAAAGTGCGAGAGAGTGAGAGAAAGAAGAAGAAAAAACCCACGTGACGGCTCGCGATAAGGAGCCGGCTCGCATCGTTCACGTCAAAGAGTCGGCTCTAAGAGCCATTTCGTTCGCGAACGACCCATCACTAGCCTGCTCTTGTCTAAATAACAACCCTCCGGCAGCGGCGACTCGTTTGTCAGATTCTTTAGTTGGAACTTGCTCGTCGTCTTGCGCCGATGTTAACCTAATATTTGTACCTCAGTCCTGAACTGACACTAAACGCTACACGATGGAGTATCTGTTCCAGGTGAAAATCGGCGCTCTGATCGGGTTGTTGCTCCTAACTCTTCTTTTTGGATTTATCCCCGCTCGGATCAAATGGTTCAGAGAGACAAATGGGACAGGTTGGTACACACTAATATGAAAAAGGAATGGCATAAGCAGCTGCTAATAGCAGCAGTATCTGTATTTGAGAGGATAAAATATGTGACTGCTATAATGTGATTTTCAAATACTGAGATCTCACCAATCTCAGCTCAAAAATGCGGAAAGGGGGAACAAATTATTAATATTACTTGTTCTCTGTTAGTTGCGTCTCGATGACACCAATGCCGAGCTAAACAGAAGTGGCTCATTCCTGTCAGGTATTCCTGCCTCTTTTGCGATTTGCTGCCATTTACAGATAGAGGCAGAAACCTTAATTTGCAAGAAATGTAAACGAAGTTTAGTGTAGCTTCAGAAAAGCCCAGTTACAGGAGCTCAATGGTTTCACCGTTGTAGCGTCCAGTGGATCACATGATCACATATCACCTCGCTGATAATGTTTTAAGTGCTGCATTTGTTTTTTTTAGCCGGGTCCTGGAAACTGAACATGCGCAGCATAAGTGTTGAAAAACAGGGTGGGTCTCACACGTGGAGGGCAAGATAATGCTGTAGATATTTTAATGTCTACATTTTGACTGTTTATTATTTCTAATATCACAGCAGTCATTTATGTCAGTCTAAAGGGTTAATCTGTACAA